GATTCTACTATCTGGATGTATTGTTTTTTTTTTTTATTCAATTGAAGAGAGATAACAGATTACAAGGCTAGAGTCATGGGATATTGGAATCCCTTGTTGAACCAACATTGATCATGTCAGTAGCTAACAAAGAGGAAATAGAACTGGGTTGGTCTTCTAGGAAGAGGAAGTGCTCCTGTTGAATTATTCCTAGATTTGCCATAGCATCTGCAGTGTGGTTTGCTTCCCTGGGTATTGTGGCAATAGTACATTGACATCTTCTGAGGATGAAGTTGGCATCTTCAATGAGTGCCCAATATGGAGAGTTCACACCAGCTCCGTCCCGAATGAGTTCCATAGCCAGCTGGGAATCAGTTTCGATTTGGATGTTGGCCATTACTTTCTGCATGATTATGGTGAGACCTTTGTATATGCCCCATAGCTCAGCTTCTAGGCTTGTATAGTTGCCTAGATAGCCATAATATCCCCAAACCCAGGTACCTACTTCATCTCTGAGCAACCCACCAAATCCAGATTGGCCAGGATCACCCTTGGAGCATCCATCTGTGTTGAGCTTAAGCTGACCTACAATAGGACAAGACCAGAGCATCAGTTTAGGATCTTTAAAATTTGGGTGGAGGATAGCTTGAAAAGTTTCCTGAGTTTCCATAGCCTTATGTAGAATGGAGTTAACACTGGTGTGAGGAGGTTGTGTGATATTATCAAACACTTCTTTGTTTCTTTCTTTCCAGATAATCCATAGAGCTGTTAAGAAAACTGTAGACCAGTGATCATTATTGACTTGGTCCTTGCTATGGATGTTGGTTTTGATCCAATCTTAAAAGGGAGCATTGTTGCTGTGTTGCCACCAAGTAAAATTCTTCAGAATCAACCAGATTGCCTGAGCTTTGGTACAGCTTTTGAAAAGATGTTGCATATCTTCTCTGGATGCATGGCATCTGGGGCATATGCATGTATCTGATATATTCCTTATGAGCCGCATATGATTAGTTAAAAGTCTTTCATGCATGACAAGCCAGAGAAATGTTCTCAGTTTATGAGGAACCTTTAATTTCCAAATCCATTGCCAGTTAACACCATCTGTTTCTTGATTAAGGCTGCTGTAGTAGAGAACTTACCAGTGGGGGAACTTTTCCAATGAGGTGTGTCATTATATATAACATACCTAGGTCTATGGGTTTTAAGAATGGTATCAATGGTCTGTTGTGGTAACATGTTATGAATTGAAGTGAGGTCCCAGTTACCATTATCATCAAGAATGGAACTGACTTTAGTTAGGTCACCAGTGTGATTTCCCTGGGTTATCTTGCATAGTGGTTGTTCACCACACCACCAGTCAGTCCAAAGAGAAACATGCTCCCCAGTCCCAATATCCCATTTAATATTCTTATCTAAGACATCTCTGTTTTTGATAATGCTTTTCCAAGTATGTGAGGCTTGTCTCCTGGTGGGCCAGTTGGATAGGGAATGAGTTTTGAGATACTTAGTTTTGAGAACTTCACACCACAGCTCATCAGAGTTAGTGGCAAGTTTCCAACCAAGCTTAGAAATAAAGGCAGAGTTCTGAACTCTGGCTTCTCTAATACCTAAACCCCCATGCTCTTTCCTTTTACAGACCTGCTGCCAGTTCACAAGATGGACCTTCCTCCTGGCTTCAGTACTACCCCAAAGGAAATTTCTATTTAGTTTATCAATCTGGTCGCAAACTTTCCTAGGGATTTCCATAGTTTGCATAAGATGGTTAGGCATAGCAGAAGTGATAGCCTTAATTAGGGTAGTTCTGCTAGCAAGGGACAAATTTTTAGCTTTCTATCCTGAGAGTCTTTGGGCCATTTTATCAAGGATGTCTTTAAATTGGGATTTGGAAACTCTGCTACGGAGGAGTGGGGGTGCCTAGGTATTTACCCAGATCAGCAGTGAGTGAAATGCCACAATGGAGGCTGATATAGGTGGCTTCCTTTCTAGGGACATTAGAAGAAAAGAACATCTTAGATTTTTGAAAATTAATTTTCTGGCCAGACATATCACAAAATTCAGCAAGAACATCCATAATACAGTCACAATTTCTTCTAGTAGTTCTAGCAAATAAGATAAGGTCGTCAGCAAAAAACAAATGGGAAATGGGAGGGCTGTTTCTAGCAACTTGAAGGCCTTTCCAATCACCATTTTCAGTTTTAATCCTAATCATGTTGGACAAATTTTCCATGCAAAGAACAAATAAATAAGGAGATAAAGGATCTCCCTGTTTGAGTCCTCTTCCCATACTGATGCTGGGTAAGGCCTCACCATTCCAGATGATGGCAAAATTAACATTAGACACACAATTCATAATGAGAGTGATCCAGTCAAAATTAAGATTGAGTTCTTTAAGGGAGTGGTGGATGAAATCCCATGAGATGCGGTCACAGGCTTTTTCCAAATCGATTTTGAGAACCATGCCTCCAAACTTACCTTTCTTACCTTTAAGGGTGTGAAGAATTTCTTGGGTTATGATAATGTTATCGGTGGTAGTTCGCCCAGGGATAAAACTACTTTGGTTGGGGCTAATGAGATCAGAAAGAAGAGGTCGAAGACGGTTAACAATAATTTTTGTAATGGTCTTATAAGTGACATTACAAAGGCTTATGGGGCGGAATTGTTTTATGGACTCAGGGTTCTGAAGCTTAGGGATAAGGACAATTTGAGTTTCATTGATCTCCATGGGGATAGTCTTATGCTGGAAACAGTTCTTAACAAAATGATAGACAGAGTTACCAATTATGTTCCAATTATTGTGATAAAAAATAGTTTGGAACCCATCCTTACCAGGGGCTTTGAAAGCTTTAATGCTTTTGATGGCATTCCAAATTTCAGTGTTAGTCACAGGGCTTTGAAGATTAACATTATCTTCTCTAGTAATTCTATTTCTAGCAATATTAACCCAATTATCTAACAAATAAGTTTCTTCATATTGGAAGAGGTTGGAGAAATGGTCCAAAATGTGTGCTTTGAGAGCATCACTATTAGAAATCCAGTTACCACTCTCATCCTTTAAGACCTAGATTTTTAACTTTCTTCTCTTAGTAAGGGTAGAGGTGTGAAAAAATTTTGTATTGCCATCACCCATGGTGAGCCACTTATTACGGGATTTCTGGTACCACAGAATTTCTTCTTGAAACAGGGTCATGTTAAACTGTTTAATAAGGTCTTTCTCAAGAAGATGAAGGCTATGTGAAAAATTGGCAGCTTGGGATTTTTCTATGCCTTCAATACGAGCCAGCAGATTTCTTTTTCTTTTGAAAATATTACCAAAAACTTCTTTATTCCAGATTTTAATATTGTGGGTGAGGTTATCAATGGCTTCAAGAAGTTTAAACTCCATATTAAGCCACGATTTATGGACAACATCAAAAAAACTGGGATGGCACATCCAAGCCGCTTCAAAGAGAAAAGGTCTATTATGAGTGGTTGAGGAGTACATACCTTGGGTGTAGACCACCAATGGAGAGTGATCCGAATAAGTTCGTGGAAGAATCCGCACAGTACCTTCAGGGAACAAGGCTTGCCATTGATCATTACACAAGGCTCTGTCCAATCTTTCCATGGTGTTTGCCATGCCTTGTTTGTTGTTGGTCCAGGTGAATCGAGGCCCTACACTTCCCAAGTCAATGAGATTACAATTGTTAATGCGTTCCCTGAATCTTTGAGTTCTGTTCTGGTTATGAGATTGTGAGAAACTCCTTCTTTTATTCTGGTGAGCAAAATCATTAAAATCACCCATAACAAGCCATGGTTTGTTCATATGGCTTGCTGTGTCCTCAAGGTTGTCCCACAGAGTCTCCCTGGATAAAGGGTTGGGGCTGGCATACACTGTATTGAGAACCCATTCCTCGAAGTCCTCTTTGTGAATGGTGGCCTGAATGAATTGAATCGAAACCGCTGAAGCCTGGACATTAACCTGATCCGTATCCCAAATCAACCAGATGCCTCCAGCTCGCCCAGTTGGGTCAACAATGGTGGAAGCTGAGAAGCCCATGTTGGTGAAAAAATTCCCCATTGAACTAAACTGAACTTTGGTTTCCATGAGTATGATAATCCCAGGTTTATGAGTACTGAGGAGTTCTCGCATGTTACTACGAAATGTATTATTTCCTGCCCCTCGGCAGTTCCAAATCAATATTTTGAGAGAATCCATAGACGATGGGAGGGGTAAAGGTTCAGTGGCAAGTTGGGGCAAGATACTACGTATTCTTTGGTGATCCTGATCGGTGGATCCCATGGATGCCATCTGGATGGAATGGACTGGAGTTTTTGGGGCTTTGCTCCATCCTGATTCGATTCTCATGTGGAGTTGTTTGATCCACCATATGGTGTCTACGCGGTGAATGGCTTCTGTCCCTTTCTCTATCAACAATCCCAGTGTTTCCCCCTCCATCCTGTGAATGGACGCGGTTGGTAGGGCTGTTTCCTCATTCTCCATGACTGTTGGGTGGGTCAGGAGGTTTTCTGGCTTTAGATTTTTCAAACCTAAGCGAGCTGGTGTGGGATGAATTCAAAAGGTTTGGAGCTGGGGCTGGAGAAAGATCTACTTTTAGCTCTTCCATCGGGATTTCTGGGGATACACTAAGTGATTCCTTCAGACTAGGCTTTTCAGGGATTAGAGTAGGTGAGGTTTCAATGTGTGTAATGATCGTTGTATTTCTGTCATCTGAAACCATAGAGGGTTGGATGTGTGGGCCTGAAGATAGACGTGAATCAGAATTTTCTTAGGAATGGGCTGGGCCAATGCTATGGCTTGGGAGCCTAATGTTGGCATTTATGTTTTGTTGGGTATTAGAGGTTTGTGGCCCAGAAGAGGTTAAGGCCATGGCGGAAGTAAAGGCCCCATTAACGTGGGCCGGGTTATTGGATTTGGGCTCTGTATTACCTAAACCCGCAAACCTATTTGAACTAGGCTGTGGCCTATTGGTTTAGGATTTTCTATTGGGTGTGGGTCTGCGGTTCCTTCGGGTTATCATCATTCAGGGCCCAAAATGGGTATCTCCTTCCTCAGATTGTTGCAGGTTACCGTTGGCCTGGGGTTGTGCTAACTGTGGGGTGCCTGAAACGGCTAGTCTTTCACCGGACGGTGATGTGCTTGGGGTTGAAGCCACTTGGGATGTTCGATTAGCAACTTTGTGTCTACAAAACTCTTTGCGATGGTCCACCCTACCACAATGGAAACAAAAAGAATGGATAGACTCATACTCGATAGAATAGCTTTTCTTGCCTAGCAAGAACTTGGGACAGAGGGGTTTATTAAGGTCCATTTCAATACGAACTCTGGCAAACTTACCTCTTGTAGCCATGGATGTTGTTAGATCTATCTTGAGTGGTCGACCTAGTTGTTTAGCGATGGTATACAAAACCTTTTCTTGAAAATACTTAATCGGAAGTTCGGGAAACCTAACCCAAACATCAGTTGTGGTTTCAAAAGCTTTTGATGCCTTGAAGTCAGGCTCCCACTTGCGAACTATAAGGTAGTGATCCAAAATTACCCATGGTCCTCCTGAATAAACATGGGTGCAATCCTCCTGAGAGGAGAATTTAAAAAGAAAATAATTGCTCCCCAAATCAATAGCATTGAAATCATCTTGTAGGGCCCATAAGTGTTTGACTTTAGTAGAGAGCATTCTGTATCCAATGCTTTTGCCCAAAGGCCTAACAATAAGGGAGTTTGTCCACGGTTGTCGTATCTGTTGCAGTAGATTATTTGGGAGGGATATTTGAGGTATTTCATTTTGCACATCCTCAGGCATGAGGGTATTTCCATCAGCGTCGCCTTCATCAGGAGGGATGGTGTCCGTCATCTCATCAAAATAAAAGTCGCTACTTTTCAGAGCTGCTAGTGCCTCTTTGAATGATTTTGCCTGAAGGACTACAGGTGAAGCCTCCACTTCAAGAGGAGTGATTTCATCATGGTATCTTCTGCTGGAACAGGGGGGCCAGAGCGGGAGTGGAATCAACACTGGTTACCATGTCTTGATCCTCCGACGCCTCCCTACTCTTGATCTTTTTAGTGCTACGTATGAAGTGATCTTCCTCCTCAAGAGAAATTTTGTTGGTATCGCTGATGTTAGCAGTGGACTCTTCCTTCTCAAGTGCCTATGATTGTGCTATTTATCGACAAGCATGTAGTATTGTTAGAAATGCATCGTGTTTTGATTCATGTCGAGATCTATGCCGTCCTCCATCTACAAAGCAACGTTCTAAATGTTTCTGATAACAATTATATTTTATTCCTTCTAATTTTAATTTGAATAATATAATTATTTTATTTATATTTATTTATTTTTTGTAATGTAGTTTCTCTATCATTTGTGGTTAAAATTTTGAAAAGAAAATAGTAAATGCAAAACTAGATTAGAAGTACCAGAATAAAATTTAAAAGAAAATATGAAAATTACTGGTATAATACTTTGCTTAAATTATAATTCAAAATGTCACTTTATTTACACATTTACACAAAAAAATGATGGAGACATAACATTGCAATAAAACTAAAGTAATATTTTACTTAAATTAGGGACTAAGTCCTCGTTTGAAAATATATTATTTTAATAACATTTTAAGTTTTTATTAAAAGATATACAAAAAAATAGAGAGAGTAATGTGATAATTTATAATCATTTTTTAACTAAAATGTAAAGTTAAGAAACAAGACCTAATAATATAATTTAGCCATGTTTATTTAAGAATCATAAGTATTTGTAATTGTAAATCGTGTTATACACATATATATATATATATATATATATACTATATGAGATACTATATGTTACTGAGAAGTATGAGTCCTAATTTGATGTTGATAATAAAATCTCTTTCTTATAAATATAAATTTATGCCATTGTTAAATAAAAAATAGCTACTCTAATTTAATTGGGTGAATTACACTTTGCCCCTTTTTATGTTTGGCCATTTTCCTATTTTAACTATTTAAGTTTGTTTTTTTTTTTTCTCATTTTAGCCCTTCATGTGTCAAACTTTTCTCACTTCAATCCTAAAGTTAATTTCTGTTCAAAAATAGACAAAAAATCACACATTGATAGTCATATGGCATAAAAATATTTTATTATATAAAACTCATACCTTTAACATAAACTTAAATTTCAATATAATAATATGTTTTTATTTTATGTGACAATTATTGTAGCATTTTCTGTCTAATTTTAAACAAAAGTTAGCTTTAGGAGTAAAGTGAAAAAAAACTTGAAATATGAAAGGACAAAGTGAGAAAAAACAAAGTTACAACGCCAAAAGGGCAAAGTGTAATTTACCCAATTTAATTAGTAGTAATGTAAGAGTATCCACATCAAATTCAATAAATTTTGAATCAAATTATAACTAAAAAACTACTTTTCTATTTTCACTAGCATTTTTTGTATGTACACACTATATCAGACTCTTTGTTCTAAAATTAAATTTTATAAAATATTCATTTTGTATTATTAAAAAGTAGCCAAAGTAGTATAGGAGAAGTTGCAAATGTTATACTGTTATTATATAGTTTCATATTCCTATATATATTTGTGCTAGTAACGGTTATCCGACTGGACATTCAAGGATTTGTATTGTTTATATATATATATATATATATATATATTGTGGGGATATATTTTCTGGGTACCAACACGTGGCCAAGGTGACGCCGACGTGTCAGCCGGGGTGCCACGTGTCCAAGTTGTGACGCCGAGGTGATCTCGGCTAGGCCGAGGTTATTTCCGAAGATATCGGAGTCTGGGATAAGCGGATAAAGGACAAGAGTCCTAGAATGAGGAAGGACCTCAGCCTAGATAAGGATAAAGCTCTTAGGGAGTTTATCTTTATCTATTAAAGAGTCCAAGATAAGCACTGAGCTGAAGTCCATTGAAGCTAGGCTTCTATTGGGACTAAGATTGAGTTGATTATAAAAGAGAGGCACCCCCAATGGGTCTAAGGTACGCAATTTGTACTCTGAATAGTGAGTTAAGCACTTTGATTATCCTTGGGAGATATTTAACTAACTTGATTATCGGAGTGCCCCGGGTGGACGAACCACTATCGGAATCTCTTCTTTCTGTTATAGGTCATTCAAGCGCCATCTATTCTGCCAGTACTCTCCAGTTGAATACTGAGTTGGCAGTGTGGTCAGAAATTCACTCACACAATTTGGCGCCGTCTGTGGAAAAGAAAGGAGAATAGATGGCCAACGACGGACAGAGAGAGAAGGTTGGGGATGACACTCCTACTGGGAGTGGAAGACCTATTGACCTTGACGTCGAAGGAGACAACTGCAACGAAGAGACTCGGGATAAGAATCACGAAGGAAAGGACGTCGGCCAGGAGGGCGATGTACAGAAGAAATCAGACCGAAACGAGTACTATAATGAGGATAACCTCCAGGTATGGAAGGATAGATGCCTACGGAGGGACGAAGAGATGAAGGGAATGGTGAACAAATTGGCAGACCTGCAATCGGTCGTCAATTTCATGATGCAAAACAACGTCATGCAGCCACCGTTCCCACTGCAGGACACGCTGATTTCAGCGGCCAATGCCCAGAAAAGAGGGCAGAAAACAATCCCTATAGCCCCCCAGCACACCAGGAGCGGAAAACACTCTCACCGGCCTTCAAGGGAGGTCGAGCGAGAAGAGTCAAGAAGGGAAGAATCTCGAGGGACACATCGCACCAAGGAAACAGACCCCAAAGAACATCGACATGTTCAAAGGCAGGAGTTGTGCTTCGACGTAACTGATAGAGAAAGGTCGAAGAGGGCTCACAACGAAGCTGAAAGTAGTGCGCCTAAAAGGCTGAAGCCAGGAGACAGCCGAGCTCCTAGGCGGACCAAGAGGACTTGAGAGATTACCTCAAGAGGAAGCAACAAAATGCTGAGATAACTTCCCCTATTAAGCCGAGAACACCATTCTCGGTGGAGTTGGACAAATTTGAGACCCCAAAAAGATTCAGTATGCTGAGGTTCCAGATATACGATGGTAAGTCGGACCCCAACTTTCACGTCGGTTTATACCTGAACTCGATAGCATTGTACACTGGGAACAAGCCGTTACTTTGCAAGGTGTTCCCTTATCTTTTGGGGAAATCACATCGGATTGGTTTCATAAACTGCCGAAAGGAACTACGAAAACCTGGAAAGGCCTGGCCAAGATGTTCGTGGCCAGATTTGTGACAAACAAACTACAGCCGTTAAGGGTAGACGCCCGGATGGCTCTGAAAATTGGCAAGGACGAAAGCCTGAGAGCCTATGCTAAAAGATATTATGAGGTATTCAACCGAATACCCGAGTACAACCAAGAGGTGGCGGTCGTGTCTTTCAAGAACGGCCTAAAAGATGATTGTCCACTACGAAAGTCATTGGCAAAGACATTGCCAAAAAGCATGGAAGAGCTCATGGCCAGAATTGAGAAATATGCCAGAACCAAAAAAGACATGCCAGGGACTAAGGAGGCAAAGCAAGAGAAAAGGAAACGGCTCGCCGAAGCGAGGCCGAGGTAATAATGGATCCAACAAGCAAGAGATAGGACTGAGGGCTGTACAAGCAGTCACAACTGTATTCCGAATTCTAATTCACAAAGTCCTGGATAAAATCCGAACCCAGCCCTATTTCAGAGCACCAGCAAGGGTACCAGGAGAGTTTATGGGAAGAAGCCTTTGTAAGCATTGTGCTTGCCACAATGAAGATGGGCATCTGACTTGGGGTTGCAGAGCCCTGAAATCACACCTGGAAGACTTGGTAAGGCAAGGCCATTTAAGGGACCTTGTAGATGAAGCCAGGACAAGAGAAGAGCAGGCAAGACTGCCTCAGGCACCAACAGTTCCACCTCCCCCAGCATAGCAACTGCAAGCAGGCGGACCTCGGGTAATTAATGTAATTCACTCGAAGGTCAACGAAAACGAAATACGGGGGGAGACCTAGAAGGTAAAGCACTTGCAACATGTGTACCAGATCCGCGAGAAAAGACCTCAGGTAGAGGAGTTCCAGGGACCAGTAGTGTCCTTCACTGAAGCCGACCTTGAGATGGTGCAACATACACATAACGATGCCTTAGTAGTATCCCTCCAGGTTGGGGAGTGCCAAATGAAACGCATCCTAATTGACCAAGGCAGCTCTTGTGACATTATGTATGTCAAGTGTTACAAGGAGCTTGGCCTTCACCCAGACGATATGGAGTAGTCCAACAGCCCAATGGTCGAGTTCAATGGAACGCCGACGTGGCAACTGGGAGCAACAAGCTTAGAGGTGCAGGCTGGCACCAAGAGGGTGAAGACAGAATTCACCATAATCAACACACCGTCCCCCTACAATGCTATCCTAGAGAGGCCATGGTTGCATGCAATGGGGGTTGTTCCCTCAACACTACATCAGCTATTGCGGTTCCCAACGGAGCATGGGATAGAGGAGGTCAGAGGGGATCAGCTGCAGGCAAAGAACTGCTCCATGGCAGCAATGAAATCCACCTGTAGCATACGAGAACCAGAGACAGTAGAGATTGAAGACGAGGACGTGGAAGTCCTAGATGACGTCGGCAAAGAGCCAACCGAGAAGAGTAAAGAAGCCTTGAAGAAAATCCTTGTCCAGCAAGGGGATGAGGAACGCTTCTTCCTTCTCGGCTCAGGCTTAGCCAAAGAAGAGGAGAAAGAACTAGAGGCTTTCTTGACAGCAAACATTGAGATGTTTGCCTGGATGCCTTATGAAATGCCTGGCATTGACCCCGAGGTCACTTGCCATCAACTGAACGTAGACAGGTCGGCCAAACCTGTAATCCAACGGGCAAGAAGACCGACGTTGATGCATGTTGAGGCAGTTGA